GGGGGGGATACAATCAGGGGTCATTTCCTGCAGGAACGCACAGGAGTGGAGCTCCAGCAGTAAAGAGCCCAGGGGGTGGGCACATGCAAGAAGCCCCACCCCCTGCTCCCAGCAGCCCTCAGTCAGAGCAAGGAGCAGCCAGGTAGCCCAGTCCAGTGGCACCTTTAAGACCAAGTTTTATTCAGGTACAAGCTCTCCCTCCTCTGCAAGGGCAGATCTGCGTGTCCCCCCCCCCATAGCTAGTAATCCAAAACAGTCCAGTGGCACCTTTAACCCCAAGTTTCTCGGCCTCTCCTGCCCGGCTGGGGGGGGGCGGGAGGGAGGGGCCCCTTCTCTGGCCCAGCTGCCACCGCCGCCTTTTTCCTCCTCTCCTGCCCGGCTGTGGCGGGGGGAGGGGCCCCTTCTTTAGCCCAGCTGCCGCCGCCGCCTTTCTCGTGGCTGGGAGGAGCTCTGCTGGCCGGCTGCGCGCGGCGGCCGCCAGCGCTCGCCTCCAGCCCGAGTGCTTCTCCGTGCCGTAACCGGGCAGGGCAGGGTGCGCTCAAGAGGAGCCTCCCCTGGCGTGGCCCCAGCCGGAGCGAAACGGCTCTCCCTGGAGCCGCGGCCGGCCTCAGCGCGTGGGACTGGTGGCAGCGCGAAGTCTCTCCGGCCCCAGCCGCCTCCTGCTGCGGGTTCGGTTTCCATTCGGCCACCAGGCCACGAGAGGACAACCGGCCCTCTTGGCCGCCCAGAACATGGGGAGAGAAGCTGCTCGCCGGGTCAATCCCCCCCCCAAGACCCATCCACCCTCCAGCCAGGCGAATGACTGCACTGTGTCTTTAAAAGGTCCCAAACTCCTTTCCAAAAGGCCTAGGCAGCCTCTTCCCGACCCTGCTGTGGCTCCTCCAGGGCGACATCGATCCCCGCGTTTCTCCCGGCCACCTGCTTCCGCTCGCCTGGCTCTGGCGTGGATTATTTTGAATCCGCTTCTCCCTCTCTCCCTCCCCACGCCCGCTTAAAACAGCCGGTGTTCCAAGGGAAAGAATAGCAAACATCCACCCGGGCTGATCAGAACACAGTCGAAGAAAGGGCCCCTCCCTCCCCCCCCCCCCGCTGCACCCAGCCCCTCCCTCCCCCCCCCCCGCTGCAGCCAGGCAGGAGAGGATGAGAAAGGCAGCGGCTGGGGGGGGGGGCGCGTGCTGGGGACGCACAGACCCATACCCCACACACACACACACCACCTGCCACGGGGAAAGGACGCCCAGAGCGTGTCTCCAGGCCCCGCCGGGAGGTTGGCATCTGCGCTCGCCTAGGGCACAAGACAACCTCAGGCCGGCCCTGAGCACTACAGAATTTCAACAGCCAATCCACATGCAAAAGAACCTCCACGGGAAACCTCCTCAGGAAACAATCCATATGCAAAAGAACCTCCTCAGGAAAGCTCCTCAATTAGCATGTTCACAGCCTGGGGAACTCCGACAAGATAATGACTCGGCCCTACCCCACCTTCCTGAGTAGATATAAATTACCTGCCAACGCCTTTTCTTCTCACCTTGACACAGAGAGTACTCCGTCTTTCTGTGTTATACCTCTGAGGATGCCAGTCACAGCTGCTGGCGAATCGTCAGGTCCTACAATGCCAAAACCATGGCCACACAACCCAGACCACGGCCATGCCAGCCCTAGGTTGGGGTATTCTGAGAGGTTTGTGGTTAGGTGTCCGGGGAGGGTTAGGAACCTCATAATGCCATAGAGTCCAACTTCCAAAGCAGCCATATTCTCCAGGGGAACAGATCTCTGGTCTGGGGAGCAGCTGTGATTCGGATAGATCTCCAGGCCCCGTCAGGAGGTCGGCAGCCGTACTGGCAAGGAGCAGGCCTGGTTCTCCACTCAGTCTAGCAGAGCAACTCCTTGGGGTGGCACCATGAAGACTGTGCAGGTGTGCCGCGGGGACTCTGTCTCGAACCCAGCCAGCAGCCTACTGGCAATGGTGGGACCTTGTTTGGGATGGAGAAACACCCCAAGCAGGCTCCGGTGAGCACTTTGCCTTCTGGCTTTCTATTTATTGTAAAGTGCATTTCAAACTTTAAACAAGTTAGATCCCTTCTGAGGATATTATACGTAATTGTAACACCGAGTTTAATTTTCGTTTAAGGTATGTAATCATCGCTAGATGCCTGGATGGCCCAGGCTGGCCTGATCTCGTCAGATTTCAGAAGCTAAGCAGGGTCAGCGCTGGTTAGTATTTGGATGGGAGACCAGCAAGGAAGCCCAGGGTTGCTACACAGAGGCAGGCAATGGCAAACCACCTCTTGAACGTCTCTCGCCTTGACACGGATGGCCCAGGCTAGCCAGATCTCGTTGGATTTTGGAAGCTAAGCAGAGTTGGTGCTGGTTGGATGGGGGATCTCTATGGAAGTCCAGGGTTTGACTATGTAGAGGCAGGCAATGGCAAACCACCCCTGTTCACGTCTTGCCTTGACATGGATCGCCCGGGCTAGCGAAATCTCGTCAGATCGCAGAAGCTAAGCGGTTCTCTTAGAGCTCTCTTAGCCCCACCTACCTCACAGGCAGTGTTCCCTCTAAGCTGAGTTGGTGTGAGCTAGCTGACAGTTTTTTAGCCTCCGGCTCACACATTTTTGTCTTAGCTTAGGAGGGATGGTTGCAGAGCAAACTTAATTGATGCAGTGGCCAAATTACTCGCTCTCAGCTTTAATGCTGGTCGCTCACAAAGTGGGATTTTTGATCTCACGACTCCACGGCTTGGAGGGAGCATTGCTCACAGGGTGTCTGTCATGGGTAGAGGAAGGGAAGGAGGGGAGCAAGAGATGTGTTTTAAATTAACTAGGTCAAAGAATACGTTCCCCTACTTAAATTCATTTATAATTATAATAATAATCTTTTAATTTATTGATCGCTCAATCCTGCCGGGATTGCTGGCTCTGAGCGATTTACAGTTACTCATTTTTACGAGGGACTAACAATGATTTGTGGGGTAAGGGAGGACAACATGTATACATCTTAAATCACACACATTCGCAGCCGACGAGGGTTCGTTCAGTTGAAGATGAGACGTGATCCGGTCAGCATTTTTCCATCGGCCTGGTTTGATGGCATCAGCTTTTCTCCAGACTCCTTCGAGTTGTAGTGCCGCACTGCCACCGCCTGGCCGGAACGGCCCATTACAGGCTTTCTTCATGCCGAGGAGATCTCTCTAGGCTTTTCCAATCTTGCGAGCTGGACTTCCGTTCGTCGGCTAACACCACACCTCCAGTGTGCCCACCCTCTCTAAGGAGTGGTACCCATTTTATCTACTTGCCGAAGCTTTTGAACCGCTGGGTAGACGGCAAGCTGGGGACAAGGCTGGTAGCTCACACCAGCGCGGGGCTAGAACTGACAGCAAGCCTGTTCAGCTCAGATGTTACTACTATAACCAGAGGATAAATCCTCTGTGCCACCGCTCCCCTTCCTGACATTATTATTCATTTATTCCTGACATTATTATCCTGCGGAGCTCATGATGGTGTCTGTGAGACGTTCCCTCCCTCCAGGCAACCCTGTCTAGTCATTTAAGCCGAGGAATGTCCGTGAGTAAAGCCACCCAGGGAGTGTCACAGCCTGGGGAGTGATTCAAATTTGGGGCTTCCCCGTCAAGAGTCCTTCACTAGCCATTGCACCACCCTAACTCTGTAGATAGGACAGTAACTTTTGCGAGAACTGTCAGAATATTCCCTCTGGATAGCAGTTGTCATCCCACAGGTAAGTGCTGGTTACACCAAACCAGCATGATGTGGCAGTTCCCACCTTCAGAACATAAGAGAAGCCAATTCTGGATCAGGCCAATGACCCATCCAGTCCAATACTCTGTGTCACACAGTGGCCGAAAATACCAGGGGCCATCAGGAGGTCCAGCAGTAGGGCCAGGACATTAGAAGCCCTCCCACTTTTGCCCCCCCCCAAGCACCAAGAATACAGAGCATCCCTTGCCCCAGACTGAGAGTTCCTACTTATATCTTGTGGCGAATAGCCACTGAGGGACCTCTGCTCCAGATGTTTATCCAGTTCCCTCTTGAAGCCATCCATGCTTGTAGCCGCCACCACCTCCTGTGGCAGTGAATCCCATGTGTTCATCACTCTTTGGGTGAAGAAGGACTTCCTTTTATCCGTTTTAACCCAACCGCTCAGCAATTTCATGGAGTGCCCACAAGTTCTTGTATTGTGAGACAGGGAGAAAAGTACCTCTTTCTCTACCTGCTCTATCCCACGCATGAGCTTATAAACCTCGATCGTGTCACCCCTCGGCCATCGTTTCTCCAAGCTAAAGAGCCCCAAGCACTTTAACCTTTCTTCATAGGGAAAGTGTTCCAACCCTTTGATCATTCTAGTTATCATTCTAAAGACCAGTCTATCATCAACCTTTTCTGCACTTTTCCCAGAGCTGAGTGGGCCACTGGTCTGATCCAGCAGGGGACCTGAGTTCGAATCTCTCTTTTTTTGCTATGAAGTTCACTGTGTGACCTTAGGCTGGTCCCAGCAGGAGGGGTGGAAAGTGCAGTCAAGTCACCGCCGACAGTGACTGCACAGGGTTTTCTAGGCAAGAGACGTTCGGAACTGGTTTGCCTGCCTGTGTGTAGCAGCCCTGGGCTTCCTTGGCCGTCTCCCATCCAAATACCAGCCAGAGCCGACCCTGCTTAGCTTATGAGGTCTAATGACATTGGGCTGGCCTGGGCCGTCCAGGGCAAGGCGGTCTCAGGAGGGAGAGCCGTTCAAGCTGTTCTGACCTTCTTGAAGGGCCAGTGTGGGATACAGAGGAATAGAGGGACCAGACGGGTTTCCTTTGCTCAACAGAAGCTCAGTCTCCAGTGCCAAATAACCCTTTTGTCCTTCCTGGTGGGAGCGTGCCTTGGCTCATTTGCTCGAGTGACAGAGCTCTGTGCCGCTGTGCGGACTGGCAATCCTTACTGCAATCCTTCTTTTCCCCGGCAGCCTCTTCGTGGCTAACCAGACGCTGCTTTTCTCTCCTAGGTTTCTTCCACCCCAGTGCTGTCTTCCAGGGCACAGAGGAAGAGACGATGAAGTCCATCATTGGCATTGCTCTCCTGGTGACAGGTAAAGGGCACGGCTGGGGGGGAGGGCTGCCATCTAGTGGCTTTCTGAGGCATCTGCAGGGCCCAAAGCATAGCTTGTTCGCAGAACGCCAGCAAATAACTAGTGGCCAATATTGACTTCTAAATCTTCTTGCATGTGGGTTCTGCCACTACCTCCTATATATAGTGGTTCTGCTCTTGCTGGGGGGGGGCATTTGTATGAAGAGGGGGGCTCTGGGGAGCTGCAAGAGGCCACAGCCTACCCTGCTGCACTTTGCAGGTGGATTGGTGCTCTTTAGGCTGACCACAGCCTGTGAGGCAGAAAGAGGCTATGGTGGCTTAGAGGTTAAGACGCTGAGCTGCAGACCGGAAGGTTGGCAGTTCGAGACCCGGGTGCCGCATGACCGAGTGAGCTCCCGTCTCTGGCCCCAGCTCCTGCCAACCTAGCAGTTCGAAAGCAAGACATTGCAAGTAGATAAATAGGTACCGCTTCGGTGGGAAGGTAGCAGCGTTCCGTGCGCCTCGGCATCTAGTCATGCCGGCCGCGTGACTACGGAAACGTCTTTGGATAGCGCTGGCTCTTCGGCTTGGAAATGGAGATGAGCACCGCCCCCTACGAGTTGGATTTGACCGGTTTTCGAGCAAGGGAAACCTTTACCTTTACTTGGGGGGGGGAGGACCCCCTCTGCTGCACCTCAATGAAAGAAGCTTCACCTGAATTGCTGCATGTGGGACAAATGTTAGAGGAGGGATTCTTTTGTTTGTTCCAAAGGTTGCCCTGATATTCCTTTCAAGCATCTCATGTTTCTAGCCTGGCTAATCCAGAGGCTTTATACTGCGGCCTGGTGGCAGGAGCTGATATTTCAAGCCCCTGCGGTCCGTTCAAGGTCTGCACAGTCATTGCCCAAGGAGAGCACCCAGTTTAAGACATTAAGATTCACACATTAGGGTTGCCAATTCCGTGTTGGGAGAACACGGAGATTGGGGGGAGAAGGGCGAAGTTTGGGGTGGGGAGGGACTTCGATGGGGTATAATGCCCGTAGAGTCCACCTTCTTAAGCGGACGTTTTCTCCAGGGGAATTGAGCTATCTAGTCTGGAGGCCGGCTGAAATTCCGGGAGATCTCCAGTTGCCGCCTAGAGGTTGGCAGCCCAGTCACACGTGCACAAGAGGGAACCAGGAATGAGGAGGCAAAGCGAACTCCGTGGCTTCAGACTGCAGCCAGAAGATCCTGTTTGGGATGCTTCCCACCTGTTTGGGCTGCCCCAAACAGCCCAAAACCGGGGTCCCAAAACCGCTGGGCCCTAGAGAAGCCAGGCTGGCTGCAACGAGGGCCAGGGCTTATTCAGTGACGACTCCACACTGGTGGAATGAGCTCCCAGAGGATATCAGGGCCCTGCGGGACCTCTTACAGTTCCACAGGGCCTGCAAGACGGAGCTCTTCCGCCAGGCCTTCGATTAGGGAGCTGCACCCAAGAAATTGTAGCCCTGGCCCAACACTAACATTATCGTCAACAGCCAGTTAACCCAGACTATGCCATTGGCCGGCTGTTGTCTGAGGATGCTGCTAAGCCCGCCATCTGACATAAACTAGCACTGTATGTTTTCTAATATTCTTAACTGTATTGCTCTGTTTTTATCTAATTCTGTTTAAATTGTTTTATATGTTATGTGAGCCACCCTGAGCCTGCCTTGGCAGGGAGGGCGGGATCTAAATTAAATTAATAATGATAATATTAATATTCACCTTGCGGGCCGGTTCTCTGTTCACGGAGTTTTGTGATGCAGACAGGCAACCCGATCTCTTTGCCTGCAGTTCGGCCTCCTCACGGCTTGCCTCATTCTCCTGGGTGTGTGAATCGCACCCAGGCCTGAGTCGGGCAGGCGCACTCTGCCAGCTTCAGTGAAGGTGCTGTGCAAGGCCGAGTCCCACAGGGAGGTTCTGTTGGTCCCTGTCAGCATCACGTCTCAGAGCCGTACGAAAGGTTACAGTTTCTAAAGAGCTGGGTCTGGCTTGCCCCGGAACCCGACTCATGTCCTGCACAGCAGGAACGTTTTCTAAAAAGAAAGGAGAACCCTAACTGTTGATGGCAATTTCCAGAGCCCTTTCCTTTTCAACCAACCGATGTTCTTCATTGGTGGTGGCGGCTCCCAAAAGCCTGGTGGAAGAGCTCTGTTTTACAGGCCCTGCGGAACTGTAAAAGGTCCCACAGGGCCCTGATCTCCTCCAGGAGCTCATTCCACCAGGATGGGGCCACCACCGAAAAGGCCCTGGCCCTGGTTATCAACAGCCTAGCCTCCTTAAGAACCAAAAGGGCCAGACGATTCTGGGGCCCTGACCGCAGTAATGCCAGTAGCTCACAAAGTAGAATTTTTGCTCACAAGCAGGGGTCATTTCCTGCAGGAGCGCACAGGAGTGGCGCTCCGGCAGTAAAGAGCCCAGGGGACGGGAACATGCAACAAGCCCCGCCCCCTGCTCCCAGCAGCCCTCATTCAGAGCAAGAAGCAGCCAGGTAAGCTGCAGAACCCCTCCCACCCCCCCGGTCCAAAACAGTCCAGTGGCACCTTTAAGACCAAGTTTTATTCCAGTACAAGCTCTCCCTCCTCTGTGAGGGAAGATCTGCGCGTTCCCCTCCCCCCCATAGCTAGCAATCCAAAACAGTCCAGTGGAGCCTGAGCGGTGGGTGTTGCCTTCTGACACACTTCCAGTGATGTCAGGGGGCGTGGCACATGCAAATGAGTTATGCTAATGAGTTATGCTAATGAGCTCCTGCACCTCTTTTTCTACAAAATGACCCCTGCTCACAAGACTCCACAGCTTAGAGGAAGCATTGATCTGGACTCTCCTTTTTAAAAAATAAATAAACCATTGAATGCAGCTGCCTCATGGTCGCAGGGATCATAAGCTGGGTCCGGAGGGAACTCAGACCCAACTCGGAAACAAAAATTGTAATGTCTGGTCCTGAGATGTGATGCTACCAAAAGCAGAAGGAGTCCCCTGCGGGGGCATAACGTGTCGTTTGGCTCTTGGTCTGTCCGTGGTTCATGAGTCTCCCAGTCCGCTGTGACTGCCACCATCTGTGTGGGAAAGGTTGCATGCCTCAGCCCCTTCAGTGTCGGTGACAATGTGACCGTCTTGCCTTCCGCAGTCCTTCAGATGTCTCAGTGCCAGAACATCCGGGACCTGACGGCCTGCATGGACGACCAGAACTTGCGCTTGGACTGTCGCTACGACAATAAGACTAACTACCCCCTGAATTACCAATTCCGCATGACCAAGGACTCCAGGGCGATGCGTATCGTCGCCGGCAACATTGGCTTGCCCGACACCGCCTTCAGAAACCGGGCCAATGTCACCACGCACAGGAACCTGTTGTACCTCCATGTCTATGGGTTCACCGCTGCCGACGAAGGCACCTACGAGTGTCACGTGAAGATCACCAGTGACCTAACTGGCACCCAGACGAGGAATATCACTGTGGTCAAAGGTGAGGCAGGACTTCGCAAAAAAAACCCTGACATTTTGGAAGACATGCTTGGTGCTGTGGTATAGTGGTTAAGTGCGCGGACTCTAATCTGGGAGAACCGGGTTTGATTCCCCACTCCTCCACTTGCACCTTGCTGGATGACCTTGGGCAAGCCATAGTTCTGATAAGAGCTGTTCTTGAAAGAAGAGCAGTTTCTGTCAGAGCTCTCTCAGCCCTGCCTACCTCAGAGGGTGTCTGTTGTGGAGAGGGGAAGGGAAAGGAGTTTGTAAGCCACTCTGAGACTCTGAGTGAAGGGCGGGGTATAATCCAACCTCCTCCTCCTCCTCCTCCTCCTCCTTCTTCTTCAGTATAAGGTAGCTTCATGTATGTTCATGTGATCCACATGCAGTTGGCTTCATCTGCGGCCATGGCCATTTCTCCAAGGTGGTGCAGAAGGTGGGGTATAAATCCAATCTCTTCTCTTCTTCTACAGTTTGGTGTAGTGGTTAAGTGTGCGGACTCTAATCTGGGAGAACCGGGTTTGATTCCCCACTCCTCCACTTGCACCTTCTGATGTGACCTTGGGTCAGTCACAAGCTCTGGCACAGCTGTCCTTGAAAAAGAGCAGTTTGTGTCAGAGTTCTCTCAGGCCCACCCACCTCACAGGGTGTCTGTTGTGGGGAGGGGAAGGGAAAGGACTTTGTAAGCCGCTCTGAGACTCAAAGTGAAGGGCGGGGTACAAATCCAATCTCTTCTTCTTCTTCTTCTTCTTCTTCTTCTTCTTGCACCTGGCTGAATGACCTTGGGCAAGCCATAGTTCTGGCACAGCTGTTCTTGAAAAAGAGCCGTTTCTGTCAGATTTTCCTCCGCCATTTTTTTTTTTACTGAGCGATGTGCGCTTGGGCGAAGCTTCGCCCTGAGCGTTTGTTTAAAAAAAAAAAGCCCTTAGTGTAGCGTTTTGGAGGAGTCTGGGACTTCAGGGAGGCCAGTTTGGTCTTTAAACTTTAAAGGTAAGTCCTTATTTTTAAAGTTTAAATGTAATATGGGGTGTTTTGAGCATGTGAATGGCTGCCTATGCGCATGCTCAAACTGAGTTTAAAAAAAAAAGCCGACGCCCGCAGCGTGTGAGCGGGCATACAGCGATGGGATCCGCAAAATGGAGGTAAGTGTGATCGTGTTTCAGCCGGCATAAACTGCACCGGTTCCAACCGGTACAGTTTATGCCGGCTGAAACGCCGCGTCTGAACGCACCCATGGTGTCTGTTCTGGGGAGGGGAGGGGAAAGGAGTTTGTAAGCCGCTCTGAGACTCCTTTGGGTAGTGAAGGGCGGGGTATAAATCCAATCTCTTCTTCTTCTTCTTCTTTTCCCTTGGTGGTCTCCCATCCAAAAACTAGCCAGTGCCCACCCTGCTTAGCTTGGCTTCGCTTCTGAGATCTGACACGATCAGGCTAGCGTGCTATGATTAGGCAGCAGGGAAAGCCTAAAGCAGTGGTGGAGTTTGCTCAGGGAAGGAAGGGGTGTCTTGGTTTATGTTTGTTTGGATTTATATCCCGCCCTCCCCTTGACAGGCTCAGGGCGCGTTCCAACAATATGAATGCAGGACAACAATATTAAATTCAGTACTATTAAAACCACATTAAAACATATAAAACATACAGCTCTAATAAAAAGCCAGCTATACTGGGAATAATTTCCCAGAGATCTATTAAAGTTAGGGTCTCCGACCCAGGCTGTAAATAGAAAAAGAAGAAGAAGAGATTGGATTTATACCCCGCCCTTCACTACCCAAAGGTGTCTCAGAGCGGCTCACAAATGCCTTTCCCCTCCCCACAACAGACACCCTGTGAGGTAGGTGGGGCTGAGAGCTTGGACAGAAACTGCTCTTTTTCAAGGACAGCTGTGCCAGAACTACGGCTTGCCCAAGGTCATCCAGCCAGGTGCAAGCGGAGGAGTGGGGAATCAAACCCGGTTCTCCCAGATTAGAGTCTGCGTACTTAACCACTAGGAGCTGCGGTGGCTCAAGTGATTAAGACGCTGAACTGCAGGCTGTGGAAGGTCGGTAGTTCAGCAGTTCGAGACCTGGGTGCGCATGACGGAGTGAGCGCCCGTCTCTAGTTCCAGCTCCTGCCAACCTAGCAGTTCGAACGCAAGAAATTGCAAGTAGATAAATAGGTACCACTTTGGTGGGAAGGGAACAGCGGGGCCACTTTGGTGGGAAGGGAACAGGGCCACATGACCACAGAAATGTCTTCAGACAGTGCTGGCTCTTTGGCTTTGAAACGGAGATGAGCACCGCAACCCTAGAGTCGGATTCGATTGGCTTTCGAGCAAGGGAACCTTTACCTTTACTTACTTAACCACTACACCAAACAAAGGGGCCGACCCAAGCTACACATGAGGAGGGGGATGCCCACTGCCTCAACCGAAATCCCGGTGGAAGAGCTCCGTCTTGCAGGCCCTGCGGAATTCTAATAAATCCTGCAGGGCCCTGATCACACTCGGGAGCTCGTTCCACCAGGCAGGGGCCAGTGCCAAAAAGCCCTGGCCCTGGTCGAGGCAAGTCGGACGTCCCTGGGCCCGGGGACCATCAAAAGATGCTGATTGGTGGACCTCAGTACTCTACGGGGCTCATATGGAGAGAGGCCATCTCGAAGGGGCCCTTGGCCGTATAGGGCTTTAAAGGTAAGTACCAACTTGAAGCAGATCCGGAATTCAATAGGCAGCCAGTGCAGGTCATGCAGCACCGGACGGATGTGTGCCTGCACAAGCATCACCGTCAACACCCGTGCTGCGGCATTCTGCGCTAGCTGCAGCTTCTGGAGCAGAGTCCAGGGTAGCCCCACGTAGAGAGTAGAAGGTGGGCAGAAGATGGCGCCGGGGAGCTGTGGGTTCCCTGTCAAGCTGCCGCTTCCTGGGGTTCCGGCATGTCTGCCACCTCGCAAGTTCTGCAAACACACCTGCCTCGGTCACATTCATCATCCTTAACCTCAGATAGAAACATAGAGCTGGAAGGGATCCCCAAGGGTCATCTAGTCTAACCCCCCCGTACAGTGCATGAAATTCACAATTCCCTCTCCCCCAGTGACCCCTGCTCTGTGCCCAGAGGAAGGCAGAAAACCTCCCAGATCACTGGGTCTATCTGGCCTGGAGGACAAGTCCATCCCAGTCCCCAAGGGACAATCAGAAGCTCAGCACTGGCTCGTCATAACAACATAAGAGAAGCCATGCTGGATCAGGCTAGTGGCCCATCTGGTCCAGCACTCTGTGTCACACAGTGGCCAAATCCCAGGTGCCATCAAGAGATCCACCAGCAGGGGCAGAGCTCCAGAAACCCTCCCACTGTTGCCCCTCTAAGCACCATGAATACAAAGCATCACTGCCCCAGACATAAGAACATCAGAGAAGCCATGTTGGATCAGGCCAGTCAAGTCCAACACTCTGTGTCACACAGTGGCCAAAACCCAGGTGACATCAGGAGGTTCACCAGTGGGGCCAGAACTCCAGAAGCCCTCCCACTGTGGCCCCCCAAGCACCAAGAATACAGAACATCACTGCCCCAGACAGCATGTTCCATCTATACCTTGTGGTTAATTGCCACTCACAGACCTCTGCTCCATATGTTTATCCAATCCCCTCTTGAAGCTGTCTGTGATTGCAGCCACCACCACTTCTTCTGGTAGGGAATTCCACATGTTAATTCCCCCACACACTTTATGCTACACCCCTTTCCCCACATGGATATTCCCATACCATCCTAGACTCACTTGCAATGTTCATCAGATGCATGATGAGCTATGTTGGATCGGGCCAATGGCCCATCCAGTCCAACACTCTGTGTCACACAGGGGCCAAAACCCAGGTCAGTTTCTATCCCGCCCTTCCCGTAAACGGGCTTAGGGCAGCTCACGACAATAAGTGACAGCAGTCTAAATTAATACAATAAATAATGCAATAACACCAGTTTAAAATTTAACGTATTTAAAATATTTAAAGTGGGCAGTGCCATTCAGTTAATTCCAGTTACTAAAGCCGGGGGGAGGGGGAATAAGTGGGCCGATGCCAAGCCATGATGGTCTCATGTAGCAGCGGTAGAAGAAGAAGAAGAGATTGGATTTATACCCCATGGCCCTTCACTACCCAAAGGTGTCTCAGAGCGGCTTACAGACTCCTTTCCCTTCCCCTCCCCACAACAGACACCCTGTGAGGGAGGTGGGCGTGAGAGAGCTCTTTTGAGGGCTGCTCCTGACAGAACAGCTCTGAGAGAACTATGGCTTGCCCAAGGTCATCCAGAAGCTGCGAGCCCAAACAGCAATGATAACCAGACCCAGGCCCGTAGCCAGGAATTTCTAAGTCGGGGGGCATTTTGATTCCTCGGGGGGCCCTGGCTAATTTGATTAAAAGTACTTTAATCACCGGCTTCTCGGCGCCCTCGGGTGTGGCGGCGGCGCTCTCCACCTGGCTGTCACCTCTGCCTGCCTTGAGCTTTGGCATCTTGTGCCTCGTCCCTGGTCTCCCCTCCACCCACCCCAGCTGCCGGCCTGCCCGCTCGCCTTCCCCCAGTGCAGAAAAGATACTCTGGTTGCTACCGGGATAAGGGGGAGCGTGGGAGTGGAGAGAAGAAGGCAAGGAGAACCGGCAGCACAGGGCGAGTTTGTGGCGGCCACCACAACTTGCCAGAGGGGGGGGCTGGGCTGAAAGGGATTGGGGGCATTGGCAGGGATTGGGGGGGCCAGGCCCCACAATGCCCCACTGTAACTACGGGCCTGAGACATTTCAAGGGAGGGAGGGGGGACTGTAAATATGCTCGAGCTTCTCCCCAAGCCCGATTCCGCTCCTGCCCACCGGCCTTTCCCTTTCCGCTCTGATGGCCTCTCTTCTCTCCTTCCCCTCCCGTTGCTTCTCCGCAGACAAGCTCGTCAAATGTGCCGGCATCAGCGTCCTGATCCAGAACACTTCGTGGCTCCTCCTCTTGCTCCTTTCCCTGCCTCTCCTCCAAGCCGTGGATTTCGTGTCCCTCTGAAGACTGAACGAGAAGCGAGCGAAACAGGGGGGTGGGGGTGGGGGGAAGGAAACAGCTGAGAAGCACACGAGCCAACACCCACCACCGGAGCGTGGCCCTTTTCGTGGGAAGGAGTCCGCCAAGAGGGACGATGGTTTGAAACCTTACCCCCCACACACACCCCGTTGTATCTCCATATTATCTCTCTATATCTCTCTCTATATAGCCGCATAGCTAACAGAAGTGACTTGATTTTGCGCTGACCCACCGGCATTGCACCGTCGCATACGAGCAACGCATTGCGGGGGGGTGGCAGTCGGGGGGGGACCCCATGCAAGCATGATGACTTTTTTTCCGTGGCACTGCTTTCCCCCACCCCCCCATGCCGACTCCTCCCGTTTCTCTCCCCTCTGCAAGCGAGGCGGCGGAGGAGCCGCGCGGACAGAGGTCGCCTCGCCTCGCCCAATTAACGTCTTCCAAATTTCAGTGAGTTGCTGGACTTAGAGACTCAAGGCAAAGAGAGGAGCCTCGTGTCTGAAGGGGCACAGAGCCAAAGTGGCAATGTAGGAAGAGATGGGTGGATGTTCAGCCCCGTGAAAAGAAAGGGAATGTGCTCATTTTACAGATGGGTGGGAAACAGGCCCGTCTGAGCATCAGGCGCTTTTCTGGATGTGCCGGCACTGGTCTAGGGTTTGATGGAGTCTCTGGGTGGCCTCCAGTGTCAGGTTGTGTTGCCCACCTGCCTGGCAGCTTCCGCACAGGTCTCCGATTGCAGGCAACGAGTCGTCGTCTCAGCCAGGGAGCGACAAAAGCATGCCATTTCAGCCTAGGAAGTGGACCCGATCGAACTGGAGGTGTGACACCCCGCCCCCCATAGCCAGGAACGTGCTGGAGTAACTGTAGCCCCTCAATGCGTCATACATACGGAATCATAGATTTCTGGAGCAGATTTCTGGAGTGGCTCCCTTTTCAGGCTGCCTGAGTTCTTGGGTTAACCCCGCCCGAGCTGCCGGCAGCCAGTTTTTGATCACGGCTGCAAAGCCTCCTCTGAGGGAAAGGCCAAGGTATCTTTGGTTCTAGAGCAGGGGTGTCAAACATAAGGCCCGGTGGGCTGGAACCGGCCCCTCCAGGGAACTTATGCGGCTCGTGAGCAACTAGTGGGAGGGAGGGAACAGGAGAGTGGGCGGAGCCCCTGTGTCTTCAGCACGGCGGAACAACTTCATCTGCCGCAGACAAGCAGCGTGGGAGCATCTGCCTAGTGCTGCTCCAGTGGTTCTCCGGTCTGCCCATATTGGTTTTCCTTTGCACCTCCCCCCCCCCCCCAGCCTTTGAGGGCTGCCATGCAGAAGACAGCAGTGAGAATACACCAACTCGGAGCTTACCAGCTGCTGTCCTTTATACAGTTTAATATCCCCAGTCCCTGGCATTACGTTTTATGGCACACATATCTCGGCCCAATAGAGTGACATTCATGTCAGATCCAGCCCTCGTAACAAATGAGTTCGACACCTCTGTGCTAGAGAACAGGCGGGGGGGGGCAACTTTTTTTCTCTCCTCTGCAGTCCCCAAAGGAGGGGGGGAATGACGGAGCCCTCTCAGGGCACATTCTTGTAAGTAGGTGGTCCCCTAGGGCAAGCAGAAGAGGCGAGCCAGTCGTGTGTTTCTAGACTAGCCGCTTTTATGGCGGCGTTTCAAAACGGTCCGCACCTTTCGGGGCCTCCAGGATTCCGTAAGTTTCATACCTCAGAGGCCACCCACCAAACTAAGCGCTCTGCTCAGCTGTAGGCATGGAGGAAGAGGTCCGGGAGTGCTCCATCAGGCATATTCCACTCCCTGAATTTACAATTTAAAAAAAGAAACCCTTTGTCCCTTCTTTTTAAGGGGGGGGGGACACCCATGTGTCTGTAATTTGCCGAATAAGAAATAGAGCAGTTACTGGCCAGTGAGCACAAAGTCGCTGTGACGTTTGACAAGGACTTTGTTGCTCAGTTAAAAGTGCAATCAAATAAAAAGTTGTGCGCTTAAAACATAATTCCCCATGGGTAAACTGTAGCAGCAAAATAAAATAAGAAAGCAGCGGTATCTTAAAGACTACCAGGTCTTGTAGCATGAGCTCCCCCGAGTCCCTGCACATTTTGCCAGATCTCCTGGAATAAATTGTGCTAGTCTTTAGATGACCGCTTGGCTCCTACTTTATACTTTAAACATGTTTGATTAATTGTGTGTGTGTGTATATATACACACACACAACACAAAACCCATAGGCCTCCCCCATAGTTTCTAGCTATGGGCCTGGCTTTCAAGGAAAGAGGAAAAAATGAAATACGAGACCATTCTGCCCCCTAAAGACTTGTGTTTTGGAGATGAACCTACCGTCCCAAAGAAGTTTGTTCCAATGCCCCCCCCCCCAATCTGGCTGGAGCTCCAGTTTGACTTTATTGATTGAGGTCCTCCGTGAGGGTAGCCACCTTGGACCCAAGCCTGCCAAAATATTTCTTGGAGAATCCCTCCATCTTGCACCGACCGTTAGTTGCCTTTCCCAATTAGCAAAGATTTGGAATAAGTCGTCTGTGTCGTTTGTCCTTGCACCGCAAAGAGCCATATCCATCTCTCAACCTGTTATCTCGGTAGAAAGCTTGTACCCAGTTCCAGGGAAGCGTTTCCCTTTTACAGCACTTTAAAAAAAAAAAAAGTAATGGCAGCTTGTGTTCCTGGACTGCAGATCCGTAAATTGCCCGGATAATCTGTGGCAAATGTCGATTGCCACTGGGCGACCAGAGATACCTTTCGACAGTTCTTGCCTCACCTTAGAGCAGGCCCGTAGCTAGGATTTTTTAAGTTGGGGGGCATTTAAATTCCTTAGGGAGCCCTGGCTAATTGATACCCGGCTCCTTCCCTGTACCTGCCGCCGCTCGGGGGCCCTGGGCTGGATGGGAAGTCGGGGCCTAGCCCCACGATGCCCCACTGTAGCTATGGGTCTGCCTTAGAGTGTCATTTATTCAGACAGCTGCATGACCTTGCTTGTGGCCTAATGTTCCCGGACGTGCAAGGCCATCTCCGCATCACTGAGATACTGGCTTTCTTGCTCCCCTTGTTTTAGCATTAACTTCAAAAAAGGAACAACGTACCATTTCTACCACCAACCACCCAGATAACCATTTTAATGCCGCTTGAAAGGAGCCGCGCGCATCTCTTGCGTGCACTTTTTGTGGGGTTACAAGTAAAGTGTGTGTGTTTTGGGAGTAGCCCATTTGCATTAGGGTTGAGCAGGGCTCTTTTGGAAGAAAAAGCCCAGCAGGAACTCATTAGCATAATAGGCCACACCCAACAGCAGAAACGCATTAGCATATTAGGCCACACCCCCGTGTTACTAGAAGTGTGGTCATCCAGCCACACACCCCTAATGTAGCCAATCCTAATGAGTTTTTGCTGTTGGGTGTGGCTTGTTATACTAATGAGTTCCTGCTGGACGTGGCCAACTCGGGAGCCAGCCGGAACTCCGTTCCTGTGCGTTCCTGCCCAAAAATAGCCCTGGGGTTCAGTAGGAGTAAAACTTACACTTCAGTCTCTTTATGGTGTGTTGCAAATGTGGGCACTGGATTGGGGGGGGGGGGTTAAAATTAGCCACTGGGTAGGCAAGTGCCAGCAAAAGGATGTTGGTTGACACCCCAGAGACAGAAGTAGGTCAGGATTTTGTCAGGCAGGTCTCCGCAGAAGCAGGTCCCAGTAGTAGATTCGCTTGAAGTGTTAAAAGTATCTCCGGGAACAGGCTAGAAGATGGAGAACTTCCTTAGAGCCATAGCAGAAGAATATCTATTAATGAAGGCCATGCTGGTTGTGTGGGGTTATTATTATCACAACTGCATTTATAGCCGGCCTCTCTCTCTGAGACTCAAGGCGGATTGTGTTGTTCTCGAGGGTGATTTTGGGGGGGTTCCTCCTCTCCGGCTCGACCCCATCCCGCCTTGCCGAGCTGTGTTTTAGGCCAAGAGGCGCATAGTGCCCCCTCCTCCTCGCTGCTCTTAATGTCTTGCCTCAGTCCTTCCTTTCCCCCCCCCCCCCTAATCACCTGGATTATACGGCTCAGGTACCGACGTCGCCTCTTCCTCACCCATCTCCTTGCTCTTGATTTCTACAGTAAACGCAACGAGGCTGGGGATCGGGGCCTCCCCGTGAGTGGGGGGGGAGGCCGAGCCCGGCCACAAACCACTGCTCTGTGTCCTAGTCTTGTTTTGTGAACTTTTGTGGAGTGGTTTTTTTTCCCCCTACAGCTTGTGGTGAAAAGAAAAATTCTGTTAAAGACAAAAAAAAAAAATTCACTGCACACAATAAAGTCTTAGATTGTTTGTTGAAATCCTGGCCTGTACGGCGTCTTCTTTCCTTCCTGGGGATTCCTCGGAAGGGGCTACTGTTGCAGGTAGGGTTGCCAGGTTTGGGTTGGGAAACACCTGGAGACTTTGAGGATGGATCCAGGAGTGGAGGGGCTTCGGCTTGGTACAAGGCCACGGAGTCCACGCTTCAAAGCAGCCGTTTTTCCCCCAGGGGAGCTGAATTCTGTAGGCTGGAGATCAGTTTGTAAAAGCGGGAGATCCCCAGGCCCCACCTGGAGGCTGGGAACCCTAGCTGCAGGTCCCTTTGGGCCACTGGTGGGATGGGGGGGGGTCTTGCCAGATCCAGGGTGGGAAACTGGGAGATTTGGGAGTGGAGGCAGGGGAGGACAGGGACCTCAGTGGGGTACGGTGCCATAGCATACCTTCGAGACCGCCTCTCCCCATATGAGCCCCATAGAGCAATAAGGTCAACTAATCAACATCTCTTGGAAGTCCCCGGCCCCTGGGACGTCCGACTTGCCTCGAACAGGTGGAACGAGCTCCCGAGTGAGCTCAGGGCCCTGCGGGATTTACTACAACTCCGCAGGGCCTGTAAGACGGAGCTCTTTCACCAGGCTTTTGGCTGTGGTGGGCTTTGTGGCTGGCCCCACCATCGGGCTGGCCCCTAACATCTTAAGATCTTCCACCACTGTTGATATGGTTCTGTGAGAGCTGGCATGGTACTTAGGAGTATGGCACTTATAAGATTATGCATGGGAAAGAGCAGGTAGAGAAAGAGATACTTTTCTCCCTTTCTCACAATACAAGAACTCGTGGGCACTCCATGAAATTGCTGAGCGGTCGGGTGAGAACGGATAAGAGGAAGTCCTTCTTCACCCAAAGAGTGATTAACACTTGGAATTCACTGCCACAGGAAGTGGTGGCGGCTACAAGCATGGACGGCTTCAAGAGGGAATTGGATAAACATCTGGAGCAGAGGTCCATCAGTGGCTATTAGCCACAAGGTATAGATAGGGGCTCTGGGGCAAATGATGCTCTGTCTTCTTGGTGCTTGGGGGGGGGGCAACAGTGGGAGGGCTTCTAATGTCCTGGCCCCACTGGTGGACCTCCTGATGGCACCTGGTATTTCTGGCCACTGTGTGATACAGAGTGTTGGACTGGATGGGCCTTTGGCCTGATCCAACATTGGCATCTTTTATGTTCTTATGGCATTTTAGACTGTTTTAATTTGGTTTTAGCTGTGTTGTATTTTACATTGTTGTTACCCGCCCTGAGCCCGCCTGCGGGGAGGGGGGGATATAAATCCAAATCAATGCTCCTGCAGAGTGCAGGGGGTCGGAGTAGGTGACCTCCAAGGTCCCTTCCAACTCTAACGTTCTGTGATTCTATGATAAATAGAGTCCACCTCCAAACCATCCATTTCCCCCCCCCAAGGGAACTCAGCTCTGTAGTCTGGAGATGAAACTGTAATTCTGGGGGATCCCCAGGCCCCACCTGGAGGCTGGCATCCCTTGAAAGGAAGGTCTGCTGCTGTTCAAGAAGTCAGAAGGTGGGGTTGCCACCTCTTTCCCCAGCCCCTGCTCCTGTGCCTAGAGTGACAAGCAGATGTAGAAATAAATCACGATTCTACTGTGAAAATCTGTAACAGCTCTACAGAAATCAGGTGAGGGCAGGCCATGCAGGAGTCATTTTGTTTTTAAAATTAATTTTTACGTATTTACATCCCCCCCTTTCTCCCCAATGGGTACGCAAAGCAACTTACAGCATTCCCGTCTCCATTTTATCCTCCCAACCATCCTGTGAGGTAGGTCAGGGCTGAGAAAGTGTGACTAGCCCAAGGTCACCCAGCAAGTTTCTATAGCAGAGTGGGGATTCGAACCCGGGTCTCCCAGATACTGGTCCAACATTTTAACCACTACACCATGCTGGCTCTCTTTTGTGGTTACTTGGCAACCTTGGTAGAATCCTGGCTGCCTTTTTGATCCCGACTTTCT